TGTACAAATAATGATTACAAACGTTTATACACAAGCTGACTAACAACATTCTGTTACAATTCTAAGTATCACGCAACTAACAGCAAACTGCTTACTAACTACAATTAATCATATTAATCTCAACATAGTGAGACCAGATATATCTTTTTATGATTGAATGGTGGAAATTGCTACTAAATGTTTTATCGAGACTAGGCTCTCTTACCATTGTTACAAGATTATATTATGTGACATCAGATACCATTGTAATGATTGTGACGGATTTTATCCTTACTACTTGATTGTTATATGATACCACGTGCTATTATTGTTCGATATTTGCTTAATGTATGGTCTGATCTGAGATGTTAGGCAACACAAATTATATTAATTGAATTCTACTGGGGTTTAGGTAAAATTAAGTATTGATTAATATTATTATAATTGTGAGTATAATCCTAAGTTAAAGATCAAATTGCGAATGGTGATTTTATCGTGTAAATTATGGATAATTGGGGGTTAACATATTATCTTATTGGGGTAAATTATACTGTTCAACATTGAAATTTCTTCTATCGACTATTTTACTGACTCAACTTTCAATTTTTTTTAATTTGTTTATTGAACTTTACATATTGAATTATTTTACTCACTCGAACATTAATCTTATAACGGTGGTAATAATGTGGCTTATTTTAATATTAAAACTCTGCCACATAAATGTCACATAAGATTTATATTTAATAAAATAAAAATAATTTCTAAAATAATTTTAAGAATTACTAATTGAAATTTACACCTAAAACCCTATATCAACCCTAACTCCCAAATTCTACCGCTAAAGAATTCTGCAAATTAATTACACGGCCATGAAAGTCCACAAACAACTCTAACTTCTGATGGAGATCTTATAAACTTGTTCCAAGAACCAAAAAGATCACAATAAACAATCATTCATTGTACATAGATAAAAAAAAATCATATCCTTTCACTACCTATTCTCTATTTATATATATAAATCAGTCATTTTTTTCATTTTATTTTTTGAACCAAATAAAAGGAGATATTTGATTATGAATTGTGTAAAACAACATCAACGACAAAAAAGAGATGTTTGGTGAAGATTATATGCAGACAGTGAAAATGAAGGAAATTGTTTAGAGCTTGATGGTCTTATTGAAGTTGAAAGAGCAATGGGAGGTGAAGAAAGAGATATTTGGTCTCTTTGAGCTCGATGTTAACTATACTTCAATTTTTATGTCGATTTTCCCTCTCTGCTTGATTTTTCTTGCATGTCGTCTTTTTCTTCTTCTTCGTCGGCTGCAATGCGATTCAAGGCCATTGCATGTTTCTCCTCAGCTTTTACAGTAGAGAAATGAAGAAATTGGAAGAATGAGGAAGAGAATAAAGGGGAAAATAAAGGGAAAGCACAAATTTTTATTTAAACCAAAACGACATTGTTTTAGTCAAAATTTAATTTTTTAGAGATCCAAACTATGTGTTTTAGTATAAGGTTTCACGCTATAACTCCATTAATTATTTAAAGAAGGACGACAAAAAATTTAATGTATAAAGTTTAGTGAATAAATTGAAAACTTTTAAAGTTTAGTAAGTACAATAGGAGAAAAAGTAAAATTTAATGAGAAACGGTTGAATTTATTCTATCTTATTGATAATGTTATATGTTTATTCCTGTATATTTATACTATCTATTATCCTTATGATATCAAAATGTAATTATTTTCTTCATCACATATCGTATAATGCATTGCAAAGTATCGTCACAATTGAATAAAAAAATTTCGCAAGATCCGATTAGTTGAACTTTGGATCCATTAAGTCAATTAAGACCTTTTGAGTGTCTAACCATCCAATGGGCATGAAGAAAATGATTAGCAATTATGGACGTTTTACTGCAACGACACGCTTTAGTAATCACTTTCGTTAAGCTTTGAGATTTTAATTTGGTAATGCTCGTGGAAACAGCACTCAATTTTTTTGAAGGCGGGTTTGAATTTTTAATTTTGAGAAGTAGAGAGGATGAATTCCTGAAAATCAAAGTAGGAGGACTAAATTCTAAATACACAAAGAGTAAAGGGATCTAGGAATATTTTAACAAGAAAACTATAATATCCTCCACCCAATACTCAATAGAAATGATTATTTTACTAATTTTAGGGTAAATTATAGGTTTAGTACCTAAACTATTACTTTTGTCCCGTTTTGGTACTTAAACTTTCATTTTTTTAAGTCATTCTTAAATTTTACTTTTTTTTATTTCGTTTGGGTACCCCACCATTAAAAACTTAACGGTATTGTTGTGTGTGGAACTTTTCATGGGTAAATTACATCTTTCATTACTCAACTATCTTTTCATTCATATTTTGGTCTTTAGTTTTTTTTTTAATTCAATTAGTTAGCTTTCAAATTAATCCTAATTTAATCACTCTAACTTTCAAATTAATTTTTTTATATTACTTATACATGAATAAAATAATAATAAATAATTTAATGTCACAAAAATTATTAATAAAATAAATCAGTGATCAAAACATGAAAAAAAAATTAAAAGTTAAATAGTTAAATTGATTTTTTTTTTAAATTTAGTGACCAAAATAGGAGTAAGAAGATAGTTTAGTGATTAATGATATAGTTTACCCATAAAATGTGACGCTACAATAGTTCCTCTAAGTTTTTAACAGTGAGATACCAAAATGAAATATAAACTAAACATTAGGTATGACTTTGAAATAAAATAAAGTTTAGGTACCGAAAAAGAATAAAAGTAATAGTTTAAATACTAAACGTATAGTTTACCCTCATTTTTAATAAAATTATGGTGGAAGAGAAAATTTGCAGGTGAAGAAGGGGTGTCCTTCACATGCAAACATGCCCTTGGTTTTCAAAGCAAGCATCACAATTAGGGTTGATTTTATTTCTCAAAAATCTCGTTTCTTTTAGACAATAATTTGGTATTACTAAGATGCTCCATTTAAATAAAGAGAAAAGAAAAACCCACGTGGGGAATAATTTCCAATTCTCATTCCTTATTTCTTCACTTCTATATAATTAAACGACTCTTTATAATGGGATAAGATAAACGACATTTAGACCCATGTGTACTTCTCTGCCAACATGCAGTTTATAAATAATTGAATTTAGAAATTAAGTTCACGAATCTGTAAATCTGTTAAACAATTAGTATTTAATAAGTTTAAATATTTAAAAAAATAGAAAACAAAATTATTCATCACAACTTATGCAGTCGTTGACGGTTTATATCTTTTAGTTTAGATGGAGAGTCAGAGCTAGGCTCATCCATTAGCGCTTGTAATTTGTGACTTGTCATAGGACCTTAAATTAAGGATCTAAATTTTGAAAAAATACTAATAAAATATTAATTTTCCTATTGTACATACGCGTAAAGAAAATTCAATGAAGAAACTTAATTTTATATGTCTGGAAGTTTTTATTTTGTAAGAAACAATTGTAATATGATAAATTTTCATAATTTACGATTTTGTCTTATTATAAAGTATTTTAAGTAGCACAAAACCTTCATATCCTTTGGGACGGGTCTGGTCACAGTTGATAATCATTTAGTAGTTAAATGGTGTTTGAATCTGCTATCTCGATAAAGAAGCAGAGAGGGTAAGTGGAGAAAGAAATGGATTAGATATTTATCTCGATATGGTCGAGAAGTTTTATAGTGAAATTTGGTACTACTATCAAGCAGGGGACCAATTACATCCCCATTATTTCAAAAAAAATGTATTAAGAAAAAGAGAAAATAAATAAATTTGGATACTCATTATTTTAAAAAAAATATTAAAATTTTGAACTCTCGTTCTAAAGTTTTTAGATATGGTATGAACTAAAGGTTGGCAAGTCCAATAGATATAGTCAGCTGTTACGTGAGTCTATCAGAGGTCGTGACTTCAAAAAAAGTCAAACTTTGAGATCCTTTCTTTCGAAGATGTTCTTCAAGACTTCTATTGCGAAAAGTTTTATGAAAATGTTGCTACGTGGAGTAGGATTTAAATAGCGATTTGTTATCATTATAGCGTCAATTATATAACGGTAATGGTACCGTCTGAAACTATTATTACATGACCGCTATAAATGCAGCAAAAATAAATCTATATACGTAATCATCAATAGCGCCCATTATGTTCGTAATCGATATAAATACAACCAAAAACACGATCGTAATCTTAATTTAAATCCTTGATGCGGAGAAGTCGAGGAGGTATAAAAAATATAACAAAACATATAGGTTTAGATATTTAAATTTGTTATTCACAAAAATAAAACGGGCTTGGATAATAAACATTCCGAATGTGTTCTCCTGGTTACATACCAGATAAGCAAAAGAAAGAACAAAAGAAGAGTAGATAGCGGCTATAAATCATTGTGGCATAATAATTTTCTCTTCAACATTAAAAAAATGGAATGATTCCCGGAGTTGGTGAGGGAAATTTGGAAGGGTTGTGAATAGAGAAATAGAAGAAAAAATGAATGAAAAGAGAATGCAAATAAATGGAGTGATACCAGATCTAACGACGATGACGATAACAACGATGATGATGACAACATTAATACATAATAAAACAAGAGTAAAGGGAATACATGTTGCCATGTATCCGACCTTACATGCCTTTGAATTTGAATATCCATTCCCTGCATCTATGCTTATCAGACTAGTGTTGTAAATCTTTTTGTAACATCTAAATTACTTAAATACATTTGAATTTATGTTCTTTTATATGTTATAACAATAACGATAACAAAAATAATCGTATCCTAACGTAAAATTATACGTTCATTCTGCATGATGATTCAAACATTCTATAAGGAAAGGAGTAATCTTCAACTTCTCATCCATGAATTTTGTTACAACCTACGAGGTCAAAAGTTTGAGAGAGAGAGCTAATCCACCATCCAACTCAAAGCAAATAGGTCTTAAAATGTCAAATAGGATAAGGTTACAAACAACATATGATTTAAGAATGGCCAGAATTATATGTTCATTTAAGTATAATCTTATTACCTTACCTTGGGCCGGTCACCGAGCCGGAGCTCAAGATCTATATCATCAACCGAGCTAGGACTAAGCTGATGATTCACCAACCGAGTTGTTGTATCATCAGTTCTCTTTCTCTTGCAACCAATCTCTTGTTTAACAATCAGATTCAAGCATGCAGACAAATCAGTTCGGACATAATCTTCTTCAAGACTACATCCAGATTCTGTGATTCCCGAACACTTGTCTCGTTCATTCCATAGATCAGAGAAATGGTAGCATCTGTCTGCTACAAAGTTTGACAACTGTTTTGGGGATGAGTTAGATAACTTCATGGGATGATCTTGGGCAATTTCTGAAGTACCATGATTGGAATTAGTGTTAGGGTTATGATCATGATGAAGAAGTTCATCTTGGGAAGATGGAGATTGCTTCAGCCTAGCCCTATCCCTCCTGTGGACATTCATGTGACCTCCTAGAGCTTGAGCTGATGTAAATTCTCTGCCACAAAAGCTGCAAGAATAAGACCTTGGAGGCCATACACAACCTCCAGCATCTTCTGCAAAAGCTTGCTCTTCCCATGAATCATCATATGAAGCCCTTCTTGACGCTTGAAGATGAGAACTCAAACCACGTCTCCCATTTCTCCACATCCAATTCCTTGCTTGATCCATTAATGCTGTGTGTACTCTTTGTTCTTTAACCTGAAGTCAAGAATCCTGCTGAAATCTTGAGGGACCTGAATTAGAAGAGGATGATGGGACTTGGAGACAGAATGAAAAGACTAAATCAAGGTTAAAGGCATAAAAACTACCGTATCAAAAGGAAAAGGAGGGTCCTGAAGTTCATAAACGGTGGCGTTGTATAGTTCCTTACACTAATCATAATCTATACATACTGAGATGTTTGGTAGATCAATCAAGCATCTGTGTGTGGGTTAAGCTCCCTCCTAACAATATATATATTTCTAGATAATGCAGCAAGTCTTCTTAAAAGTCTTGGATTAAACAACGAAGATTGGACTGTGGTTCCTATCTTCTATAAGATCAGAATTAATACAAAAATAATTGTTCTGCAGTTTAACAGTCAAATTTTAGTACATAATAAGACTTAAAATTTACTCTTGATTTGTAATGTAATTAAGTGCGATTTTAACTTTGATTTCTTCCTCATCTTGTATGACGAATTCTATTGCATGCAGTTCTTTACAAATTTACCAATGAATGCTAACGTGTGCGTGTGTATATATATATATATATATTTAAAAGGTAAATAGGCGAGACTTCTATCATTATTATTATTATTTTAATTACAAAAGAAAGTAGCTCACAGACTCCATGTTCTGGGAGATAAAGCCTCACAATCTTATTTTATAGACAAACGGAAAATGTAGTGATAATAGCCCTATATATAATACGCTTTATTTTTTTATTTTTTTAACAACAATTAAAGAGATTTGACAATTTCAACTCTCTTGTGAAGTTAACGATATTGTGTGTAATTTTTTTAATAATTATTTGTCTGCAAAAGACCTTGGACAAGATGGAACATGAAACATTGTTTCCTTCAACTAATCTCTCATTCCTGATAATTGAAGGTTTCTCGGTGATAATAATAATAAGCTCAAGTTTGGCAGTTTCCCAAGATTTTCTTCATTTTGACTGTTTTACCGATCAAATCTTTTTAATTACAACGCGTTTGAGACCCTTTGAAATTTTGAACAAGAAAGACATGATGAACCTTAATCTTTGAATTCTTTATTGTTATTAATATATATATATATATATAAATATAATTCTTGATATTTAAATATTTATTGTCGAATAGTTGAAAACCTTTAAAACATATATTATCATTTGTAATTATCATAAATTAATCAAAAGGATTCTTGATGTTTTATGTAGTTAAAGTAGACGCTTTTGCACCTTTCTTGGCATTCATAATATTGAATCTAAGAAAATAAATCCCTTAAAGTATTCTAACATATAACTCTTGAATGTGATAATTTTAAATTCCAAAAGGTAAGACAAAAGAGTAATGATTTTCAAAGATCTCTGAAATTAGAAAATATTATCAGGATTTGGACACTTTTACGGTTGAGTATAAAATTAGTACAGCAATGGGATTATTATCTGTTCTCCAAAGATTCCATTAAAAAAAACTGTCTTCATTCTCCTTTAATTATTCAAAATTATATATATATATATATATATATATATATAAGAATGCAATTGCAACTTGCAAGGACATTAAACAGATATATTTATAAAAATGACTAATTATGAAGATTAAGAAATATTTATATTTTAAATTAGAGCATGAAAGCACAAGATTCATTTCATGTATGATCTTTACACTAATGACCACAAAATAGTTCATCTAATTTTATATACTGGCAAACGAAGAAAATATGCTACCTTTACTTTTACGTTCAATAATCAGAATTAATAAAAATAGATTCTGTTAATTTGACAGGGTCGACTTTTTGAAACAACACGTTACTTGAAAGCATCATTTTATGTGGGATTAATTATAAAATAAGTGTCCAAACTATATCGCTTTTTATAGATAGGTATTTAAATTTTTTAATGTTTTAGGTTTTTTTAATGATTTAAGTGTCTAACGTTACAAACAAACGTTATTATTTTAGGTGATCAGGACGTAACGGCCATTTAAAAATTCTATTAATACACATGTGTCATGCTTTGGTAATTTCGAAATATTTTTTAAATATTATATTTATAAATTAAAATCTTATTTTTCTAAAATTATAAAAATTTCCCAAATCCCTAACCCCACCTCCCTTTCTAGCCACGACCACCGCCGTCAACACCGTCTTTGCCATCTCCGTAGTTGGACGACGTCGTCCTTATTGTGGAGTCGCAATGGTCATCGTGGAGTCGCTTTCAAATATTGGCGTTAGGGTAGCTTTCGTCGCGATTTAGGGGTCTTCGACTGTTGTTATGGTGTTGTTCTTCAGACAATTGGTCGTCGGTGGAGGTGCGACTAGGTGAAAGTTTGATCAACGATAACGACGATAGTGGGCGGCGGCGGACATGAATATAGGGACTAGATTTAAGGTTTTCAAAGTTTGGAGGAGATTTTTAAGATTTTTGAATATTTTGAGCTTTTTCTTAAAAAATATATTTTTAAGTTTTTTAAAAATAAAATTTTCAAATTACCTAAGGGTGACATGTGTCACTTAACTGAATCATTCAAAAAAAGTTTAAGCACCTATTTATAAAAAGTTATATAATTTAGGCACTTATTTTATAATTAAGCCTTTTGTGTACGTAATAAATCTAAATTAATAATTTTATTTTTACTTTTTAATTATATAAATTTAAATCTCAAATGTATTTAGTTGTATTAATTTTACTTTTTGATTAACACCGATTATATTACAAGTGTTAACGTAATAGTTAAGGATATTAATATGACAGTCTATTATAATAATACGATGGTCCAAGATATTGATATGATAGTTTAATGATGCAGTTATTAGCTTAATTAATTTCGTGGTTGAATTTGACGGTATAATAAATATTTGGATGAATTTGATAACATAACTTATTTTAATTAAAAGTTTGAGAATTTATTTAACCTTTAACCAAAACAATTAAGAAATTATTTTCAGTTTAAATGATGAATGAATGTATCTATGTTAGATTTTTCCAATATTTGTATGCTATGCTTACAATATTATAAAAAAAAATACTCTCTCAAATGATTCCTCCTTCCAAAATAAATGAGAAATGCTCAAAATGGACCTTTGATTTTTGGTTCATTTATAAATGTATAAATTTGTAAAGAAAAGGGTGTCGATAATCAAAGTCATTATCGAATATATCGTAAATTAACGATTTTAAAATAAAGTAGGAACAAAACTTAGGTGCAACTAGTGCTTAAATACTCTTTTCATCAACATTCTTTATTAGTTATTAATTAATTATGAAATTGACAAGTACGTAGACTCTATACATCTCCCTTAAATTACTCCCAAAAAATTAGTTCAAAATTTATGATCTTCATGTCATGTTTATCTAACTCTGATCATTTTCACAATTTTTTTTATTGAAATTTTGACAATCTTTGCTCTAATTATTTGACTCTAAACACTAAAGAGTTGTTTTTTAAGGGGGAAGGGAAAATCATTTTGCTTCTTGTCCTAATAAATTTTAAATGACTTTGGCTCACATACGGACGCCAGATTTTATATTAGAATACGAACTTATAAAATTTATGGAGGTAATTTTATAAAATTTTAGAGGAGAAAATAATTCATCAATAAAAAATACAAAAAATATCTAAATCGTATAAAACTTTAAAATTTTAATAAAGATGACTACCCTCACCATCCTTCCTCATTCCATCCCTAATTTGGTTCAAACATTTGGCCATTGAACCTTAATATTAAGCTCAAATATTATTTTTTTATGCAAATAGAAACCGTTACTTTTATTAAAATAGGAAATATCCAAAATTACAATAAAAGTTTACACCCATAATCGTAGAATACATACATAATAAAGATATTTTCTTATACTCATTGACACAAGAAACTAGCCACTTAGGATCATACAATGAAAGATTGAATCATAACAAGAGATTAAATTACTCAGGGGCGTGTGGTTCACGGAATGTAAGATTACCTTTGGGAATAACATTACTGGAATGTCACATTACTATGAGAATGTGTTGTATTATATTGTTTGGTTTGTTTAATATGAATGTAAAATTAACGAAAATTGTAAATTTATACTCTAAAAACCTAGTTTTCCCTCATTGGTGTGCCACTCATCTTTTTTCTTTTTCATCTTTGTTGATCGGCATCGGCACCAACTTTAATGTTGGTTGTCGACCGCCGGTATTTTTTATTATCTTTTTCTTTTCTATATTGTATCTTTATTTTCTTTTGTTTTTTTATCTTCAATAAGTATGTCCGTGTTGCACATTTTCATCTGCCTTTAAGTCAAATTTTCTTATGCTTTTTGACATGTTTTTCAATTCTTTGGCCTTTTTTCATTTACCTTTTTTTCTAAGGGTTGATTTGACTTTGCAAAGACTGATCAAAATGACACTTATTTGATATATTGTTGTCATTTCCTGGTTTGGACCCTCGGATTGGATTTGGATACTTGATTTACGTTCATGGATAGTTTTTCACATTGCTCAAGTCTAATTTGTGATTTGTCGGTGATATTTCAATAGTTTGATCCCTTTTTGTGGTTCTTTTGCTTATGCGACCAGATTTGTTTGTATCTATCTTTGTTCGAGTTTCTTGGTTAGATTTAATCTTTCCTTGTATGGTTCTTATGTGATCTTAAGTTGCTAGTTTATTTCAAATATTATAGGAAATTTTCCTAATTATGTGCTTAATTTATGATTGTGATTGTAAAATTTTATTGTAATTTGGGATATTTCCTATTTGAATAAAATTAGTTGCTTCTATAAAAAAGAATGTAAAATTATAGTGTTTGGTTGGAGAAATATAAATTACTTGAACATATATTTTACTAATTTATCTGTATGTAATATGTTTTTTAAATTAAACTTTAATATTAAATTATAAATATTAGAATAAAAATTCATAGAAATATTCTAGTCGTTATACTATATAACTTTTGAGAAAAAAATACATTTAATATATAATTAGTATATTAAACTTATATTTTTAAATAATTTTCATAAGTATATATTTATTTATATATAATATAATATAATATAATATAATATGAAAAAAATAATATTATAACCTCAGTAGACAAAGATATTATTTTCAATGTAAAAGATCTATTTTTTAATAACTTAAAGTTATATCTATTTTAAATAATTACATTTTTACAATCATATTATTTTTCACCTCATAAAATTATAAATAATTAATATATTGAATATTAAAA